CGCCCCTCTACTTCTCAGAAGTCCAAAAAATCCCCATTGCTCAAATCTCCTTTAACCCCTCCTTCCCTTCTTCTACCTTAACATTTTACCTTTCCAGTCTCTGTACCTGGTTCTTCACCTCTCACTGGCTCTGTTACGAGTGTGGAGGTTCACCCTCCTCTTCGTACTATACCTTCCTTCCCTGTCTCCTCCCAAGTTTCTTCCTCTTCTGCCCCCTCCCAGGTTTCTTCCTCTTCTGTCCCCTCCCACACTTCTTCTCCAGTTCCCTCTGCCCTTTCACCCCCCTACTTTGGTACAGTCCATTGCTGTCCCAATCTTTACTCCCCTCCCCCTTCCATCTCCAATCGTGTCTCCCATACAACGTCTTTGTCTTCTGAAACACTTGAAGCTATCTCAGAATATATTAAAGAGACTAAACCATCAATGGACACTGATCCACCTCCTGTTCTTCCTCTTCCCTCTCCTCCATTTACACAACTCCTATCCTCACAGTGTCCCATTCCTTCGCTGCTTGAACGTTTTCCGCTGTCACCACATGTGGACTTTTCTAACCCTTCTAGTCCGTAGATACCTTTATCTGCAGATTTCTTGTATCTTTCTCGTTACCATTCATGACCTATTTAGAGTGGAATATCTATGGCCTCAGAGGTAACTGGGTGGAGCTTCAAATGTTGCTCTCCCGGTTTTCCTCTGTTGGTGTTTGCTTACAGGAACCTAAATTACATTCTGCTGTTATTCATCCCTTCTCAGGCTATGATTTATTGTATTCTTCAAATCCTTTCTCTGATGGAACCTTTAATGAAAGTGCCCTTCTTATATGCACTGGTATTTTGTACTGTCAGCTATTTGTTTATACTTCACTGCATTACACTGCAGCCCGTATCCACTTGAATAAATGGTATACAATCTGTTCTTTGTATCTCTCTCCTTCTCAGGCATTATCCATCCCGATGTTGCATTTCTTGTTTCATCCTTACTGCCACCACTTCTGTTTCTTGGTGATTTTAATGCCCACCATTTCCTCTGGGGGGTCTCACTGTGACTCCCGTGGCATTCATTTAGAGGCTTTTCTCACTTCTCACCCCCCTCCATGTTTTAAATACAGGTACTCCCACCCATTTTGATCCTCGTACTCATACTCTCTCTTGCATCTATCTCTCGGTCTGCTCTTCCTCCACTGCACTAGACTTCACCTGGTCTCTCCTCCAGGACTTACATGACAGCAATCATTTTCCAATCATTCTTACTTCTTCATATTCGCCACTTCTTCATAGCCCATGCTGGCAATTTGATCGAGCAAATTGGGACCTTTATTTGCAACTAACTGCTTTTAGTGAGGTTCCTTCTCCATCCTCCACTGAGGAGTTTTTACACCTCTGCTCGACCTAAGTTTTAATCGCAGCTTCTCATTCTATACCCCTAACCTTGGGCAGGCATTCTCAGAAGTGTGTGCTTTGGTGGTCTCCTGCTTGTGCTCAGGCAGTACATTTGAAATGCGCTGCATAGGGCAGGTACCAGAACAATAGAACCACAGAGAGACTTCTTGATTTTAAGCAGAAGCGAGTGGTCGCTCGCCGTGTCATCCATGACATTAAACACACTTGCTGGCAAGATTAAGTTTCCACCATCACCTCTGCTTCCTCTATGAGTGCAGTCTTGAAAAATGTATGGAGACTGGTAAATACTCTCCCGACCCAGCTCCTGTTCTGCAGGTTGCCAGTGTTGATATAGCAAACCCTCTTGACGTTGCCATTGAAATTGGTAATCATCTGGTCCATATTTCTCAGGGCCTCCATCTATGCCCCTTGTTGCTTTCCTTAAAGTCTACCAGAGAGTTCACCCTTAGACTTTTATTCTCTCAAAGAAGAATCTTATAATGTGCCTTTTACACTTCTGGAACTGGAGACAACACTCTCAGCTTGCTGATCATCGGCAGCTTGGCCTGGCGGCATTCATATTCGCATGTTACACCATTTACATCATTCAGCCTGTGTAGTCCTCTTACAACTCTTTAATCTTATTTGATCACAAGGAGTTCTTCCCCAGCTGTGGAAATCTGCCACTGTTCTCCCTTTCTGCAAACCAGGCACTACAGGACATGATGGCTCCCACTATCGTACCATTGCTCTTACCAGTGCAATTTGCAAGGTAATGGAATGTCTGGTAAATCATCGTTTAATGTGGTATTTAGAGAGACACAACAGTCTCTCCACTAGTCAGTATGGCTTTTGTAAGGGCTGTTCTACCATTGACCCCTTACTATGCTTGGATATGTATGTTCGTAATGCTTTTGCGAATAACCACTCAGCTATTGCCATATTTTTTGACCTTGAAAAGGCATATGACACAACTTGGATGTATAATATTTTGACCCAAGCCCACTCCTTAGGCCTCTGAGGCAATCTACCATCTTTCCTTAAGAACTTCTTAACTGACAGACATTTCTGTGTTCAGGTTAATAATATGCTCTCCCCGGACTTTGTCCAAGGTGAAGGTGTCCTTGAGTGTTCTGAGCACATTTTTTCTCCTTGCTATGAATGATTTGGCTTCTCTTCTTCCATCCAATATTTGGTTATCACTCTATGTTGATGACTGCTATAGCTTGTGCAGGTGCTAATTGTCACCTCATTGCAGTTTCTCCCCAGCATGCGGTCAACCATGTTTCCAATTGGGCCAACACACATGGGTTTAAATTTTCCAGTATTAAAACTCTCCAAATTTCTTACTTCTGTTGTAAATTGTGAGTTCATTACCTTTGTAAATTGTGAGTTCATTACCTCTGTAACTTGCTCAGCTATCAAAACTTTGGAGTCCAGTCCCTGGACCAATTATGTACCTCTGTAATCTTTTGACTACCGCCCACAGGATGGGTATGGGGTGCATAATAAACATATTAAACTAAACTAACTGTTGTCTCTGATCATCCATTGTACCTCTATGGCTCACGTATCCCAGAACATGATATGGTCAGGCTTCTAGGCCTTCTATTTGACCATAGAGTATCCTGCAAACCTCACATTTCCTCTCTGAAGGCAACTTGTCACAGCTGGCCGAACCTTCTTAAAACCCTCGCTCATCTTTCATGGGGAGCTGATCGTAGAACTCTCCTTCACCTACATTCAGCCCTAATTTTATTGAAACTCAATTATGGTGACCAGCTCTATTTAGCAGTCTCTCCTGCTACTCTCTCTAGCCTTAATCCCATCCATCACCAGGGATTATGTTTATGCCTTGGTGCTTTACGCTCTTCGCCTGTTGAGAATCTCCATGCAGAAGCGAATTTTCCATCCTTGTCTGATCGCCATTATGCTCAATGCCTTTGCTATTATGTTTGCTCTCATGATCTCCACAATCCTTCCATATATAGAATAGTCACTGATGTTAGTAGACATGTTTGTTCATCGCCCCTGTTTACTCCATCCCTTTTCTCTTCGCCTACATTTGCTCTTGTCTTCCCTTCAGTTACCACCTATGTTCATATAGCATCTCACTTTTCCCTAACCCCTTGGGAAGTTCCAGCTGTTCGTGTCTGTTTTTTCTTACTGCCATGTGCGAAAGCCCAACTGCTTATGGTAGCTTTCCGCTCTCTTTTTCTTGACCACTTCTGCTCTCATTCTCATGCCATCGCAGTGTATACAGATGGTTCCAAGTCTTCAGATGGCATTGGATTCGCAGCAGTGTTTCAGGGCAGTGTCATGCAAGGTCATTTACTATCCTTGGCTAGCATTTTTACTGCTGATTTGTATGCCATTCTTGCAGCACTTATCCGTATTGCATCTATGCCTGTGTCACCATTTGTGGTTGTTTCAGACTTCCTTAGTGCTTTACAGGCTATACAAAAATTTGATATGCCTCACCTCCTAGTTCTCTGTATCCAACTTTGTTTATGCCATATCTCTATGAAACACAAAGATATTGTTTTTTAGTCATGTTGATGTATAGGGCAATGAACAGGCAGACACTGCTGCACTGTCAGCAGTACATGACCTCCCAATTTAATATGGAGGTGTTCCATTCACGGACTATTTTGCTGTAATTGCTACCCACCTTAGCACCTGCTGGCAGTGACGTTGGTCTGATCTGCTCTATAACAAACTTCATTCAATTAAACTGAGTATAGGTTACTGGCTATCTTCTTGTCATCAGTGTCAAAGTTGGGAGACTACTCTCTCCTGTCTTCACATTGGCCACACGTGTCTTACTCACGGGTATCTCATAGAGAGTCTCCCTGGTCTTCTCTGTCATAATTGTCAGGTTCCAGTATCTGTTAGCCACATTCTGTTGGACTGCCCACTCTATCAACGTGCACGCAGAATTTACCTCCAGCGTTGTCTCCACTCTGCTGTTCTTTCTTTACCTTCCCTTCTTGCTGATGGACCCTCCTTTAATTCAGACTCTCTCATTGACTTTTTGACAGCAACTGATTTACTCCACAAACTCTGATGATGATACCTTTAGCACTCCCCTCAGTCCTTTCTACCTCAATCTCTTTCTACCTTCTACCCCAGCACTATCCACTGCCCTGCTGTACTCCATAACCTACTAATCAGACATCTCCCTCTTGCTACCCGATACTTTCACATCCTTCCCTGCCGTGCAGAGCTGTATAGCCCTTGTGGTTTAGCGCTTCTTTTTGATTATTATAATCAGAACCTTGGTGTTTTGACTTTGCCTACTTTCATTTCAGAAAGCCCTACCTTCAGTGCAGATACATGCTATAAATTTTACTATACCAACTTTGGCTGTTCTTGTTAGTTCTTAAGTTGTTATATCATACCACTTCCCTTTCTCAGTAACTTCCCTCTTCCTTATAGTGACTTATAACTAATACAGATTTAGTGCATTTTGCTAATATGTATACATTGTGTGTTGTGAGCCTTTAAAAAAACTTGATTATTTGTATCAAATTAATTTTTATTCAATATATGTGTCTTGGTGATCCTAGAATGCAAGCTTTGTTGACTTATTTTTCTAATCCACAGTTATATTATTTCCAGACACTCGTAATCTCCAGTCTTTCAAGAAGCATCTGATACTCTTTTTGCCTTCAATGTTTATCAGTGAAACAGCACTGAGTAAGCAAATTTTAATGACCTGTAATGATACATATTTACAAAAAAATATATAGTAGATGAAAAAATATAACCTATGAATTATTCTGATAATTGAGGAAGATCTCTTAAAAACATTAGAGATCTTAGAGAAAAACAAATACCATTGTTTCTTAAAATGTTACACCAACAATGTTTGCAGAACTCTGACTTTTCAGTGTTTCAAGTGTGTCAAATCTTTTATCTGTGTAAATAATCATTATAGACTTATCAGAGTTTATGCTGAAAATAAACTATATTAATGTTCATTATCATCACATTCATGAGGGGGGAGCACTAAACCTGAAAAAGCCACACAGTGCTTGGAAAAATGGAAGGTAATGAGTTTCATTCTAAGGAAGGAAAGGCTAGGTCCAATTCCTTGGATCATAAGCCCTTCTTCAGCATCAAGGAACCTATCTTGAAGGATTTTCAGTGTTTAGAGTGTCTGAAATGCTTTAGTAATAAAAGTAATTTAGTAAGACATGAGAAAATTCACACAGGTGAAAAGCCTTATAAGTGTTCAGAATGTCTGAAATGTTTTTGTCATAGAGGTGATCTTGAAAGACACACAAGAATTCATAGAGGAGAGAAACCTTTTCAGTGTTCAGAGTGTATGAAATGTTTTAGTCAAAAATGTTATCTAGTTGTACATAAGAAAATTCATACAGGCGATAAGCCATATCAGTGTTCAGCATGTTTAAAATGTTTTAGCTATAAAAGTGTTCTTGTAAGCCATGAGAAAATTCACACAGGAGAGAAACCTTTTCAGTGTTCAGAGTGTCTTAAGTGTTTTAGCAGGAAACGTTGTCTTGAAATACATGCTAGAATTCATACAGGAGATAAGCCATATCAGTGTTCAGAGTGTCTAAAGTGTTTTAGTGAAAAAAGTTATCTTTTAAGACATGAGGAAACTCATAAAATTGAGAAGCTTTATCAGTGTTCAGAATGTTTGAAATGTTTCACCACCAAAAGTTGTCTTCATGGACACATGAAAATTCACACAGGAGAGAAGCCTTATCAGTGTTCAGAATGTTTAAAATATTTTAGTTCTAAAAGGGATCTTGAAATACATATGAGAGTTCATACAGGAGAGAGACCATATCAGTGTTCTGAGTGTATGAAATGTTTTAGCAGAAAAGACAATCTTGTAGATCATGAACAAGTTCATACAGGAAGGAGACCATATCAGTGTTCAGAGTGCTTAAAATGTTTTAGTAGAAAAAGTGGTCTTGTAAGACACTCAAAACTTCATTCAATAAAGAAGACTTATCAGTGTTCAGAGTGTTTGAAATCTTTCGCCAAAAAATGTTTTCTTGAACAACACACAAGAGTTCATACTGGAGAGAAGCCTCATCAGTGTTCAGTGTGTATGAAATGTTTTAGCAGAAAACATCATCTTATAGTACACACAAAAATTCATTCAGGAGAGAAACCATATCAGTGTCCAGAGTGTATGAAAAGTTTTAACAAGAAAGGCAATCTTGTACTTCATGAAAAGGTTCATACAGGAAGGAAACCATATAAGTGTTCAGAGTGTCTGAAATGTTTTACCTTTAAGTCTACTCTTAAAACACATATGAGAGTTCATACAGGAGAGAAACCATATCAGTGTTCAGAGTGTTTAAAATGTTTTACCTTTATGTCTTCTCTTAAAACACACATGAAAATTCATACAGGAGAGAAATAATATCATGTTCATAGTGTTTAAGTCTACTTTTAAAACACACAAGAGTTCGTACAGGTCTGAAATCATATCAGTGTTCAGTGTGTTTAAAGTGTTTTAGTCATAAAAATGGTCTTGTAGCACAAAAAAGTTCATACTTGTAGGATGTATTCCATATCAATATTTAGTGTCTGAAATATTTTAGCAAGAGAAGAACTACTGTAGAACATGAAAAAGTTGATTTATAAAGTAAACCACAACAGTGTTCAGAATGTTTACAATATTTTAACCAAAAGTATAATTTTTTAACATATAACAGAGTTCATACAGTAAGACTGCTGTATCAGTGTTCATTGTAGATCAAAATATTCGAACATGAGAGATAACTTATCAGTGTTCCGTGTGTCTGAAACACTTCAAATTAAGGGGTCTCCTGTAGGACATAGAAGTTCAGGCAGGAAGGAAATTTCATTAGTAGTAAGACTGGATATGTGTTCTTGTAGAATACAAACAAGTTCATACAGAAGAGAAAACTCATCAGTGTTCAAAAGTGACTGAAATATTCAGCAATAAAATGAATCTTGTAACACACTAGAGAGCTTGAGATAAACCATGCTAGTGTTCTTATGTGTTAAGAGTAAGCTTGTAATGTATTGCAGTAAGACCTACCCTCTCAGTTAATGAGTCATTCTTTCTGTGGAAAATACATTGTTTCTTACATGACCCCAATAATTTTTTTTTTGCCACTCATTTTTAAATATGTTCCTGTTTGCAGTAATAATTTACTATAAAATAATTTGAAGTAATAATTCACTATTAAGAATGTCTTGAGATAATAATTTTTAATGAAACTAAGAAGTAATACCATTCTGAATTTCTGCTCATCACTCTTGATCTTCGAACCTGTGGTTTTACTGATGCTAAAATATCAAGAGCTCTTCATGTTAAATTTACCCTAATTTTTTATGAACTGAATGTTCCAGGTCTTAGACTGTGAGCACACTGATAATTAAAAAAACTTTCTCAACTCCACTGAAATATAATCTGTGGATACTGTCCCCTCAAGCAAGATTCCTTGATGGGGGCGAGTGAAAGAGCAGATCCCAGGAACTGGATCAGCTCTTTCTTTCCTTGGATTGAACCTGAATGCCTTCCATTCCCTCCAGTGCTGTATGACCCCCGCCCTCTAAGTTTTACTTCCCATGAATATTATGATACAGTAGACCATTAGATAACACATGATCTGTTAACACATTTGCAAAATTTCATTGAACATGCTATAAAAAAATCACTTTATACAGTGGAGTAGATGTAAAGAAAAATATCACACCCACCTCGTTCTTTCCCCTCTGTTGCACAGTGAGCCTTAAGGTGGTGAAGAGGCTCTTAGTCTGAGGAATCAGACCTTTTTGTCTCCTTCCTCAGACCGAACCTAATTACCCCCTAATCCCCCCCTGGTTGGTAGGTAAGACACATAGGCAACAGTTAGGCAACTTTATTCCGAAACGTTTCACCTACACAGTAGGCTTCTTCAGTTGAATACAGAAAGTAGGCAGGAGCAGTAGAGATGTGAAGACGATGTAATCAGTCCATCACCCTTGAAGTCGCAGAATTTGAGTTGTCAGTCCCTCAGCCTGGAGAAGTTCAGTTCCATAGTCAGGAACTATCTGAAGATCAAGCGACAGTGCGGAGACTTAAATACTGTCGGAAGGAGAGGTGCAGAGGTCAAATTCTGCGACTTCAAGGGTGATGGTCTGATTACATCGTCTTCACATCTCTACTGCTCCTGCCTACTTTCTGTATTCGACTGAAGAAGCCTACTGTGTAGGCGAAACGTTTCGGAATAAAGTTGCCTAACTGTTGCCTATGTGTCTTACCTACCAACCTGTCGGTATTGTATACCATTTTGATGTTCATCTTGTCAGACACTGCAACACATGGCATCTTGGTACAGAAAACACCTTGGACAACCTTTTCAAGTGAGAATTGTTGGATCTGAGAGGGACATGACCTCTCAGTGGCTACATTCTCACTACTACTACTTCTCTGCACCTCTCCTTCCGACAGTATTTAAGTCTCCACACTGTCGCTTGATCTTCAGATAGTTCCTGACTATGGAACTGAACTTCTCCAGGCTGAGGGGCTGACAACCTCAAATTCTGCGACTTCAAGGGTGATGGACTGATTACATCATCTTCATATCTCTACTGCTCCTGCCTACTTTCTGTATTCGACTGAAGAAGCCTACTGTGTAGGCAAAACGTTTCGGAATAAAGTTGCCTAACTGTTGCCTATGTGTCTTTCCTACCAACCTATCAGTATTGTATACCATTTTGATGTTCATCTAATCCCCCCTTCCCAGTCCCATCCTCCCCATCCCAGTCCCATCCTCCCCATCCCCCCTTTCCCTTGCCACTTCTCCCCATTCCTTCCCTATCCCCTTCCTGTTTTAACCCGTAAATGGTCCAAACATTTTTACCACTAGTCCTCTTCAAAGGGGACTCCTTAGCGTGGGGAAGAGGCTCTTGGTCTGAGGAATTAGACCTGTTGGTCTCCTTCCTCAGACCGAACCTAATTACCCCCCAATCCCCCCTCCCTTTTTCCTTTCCTTCTCTTCCTCCCCACCCCTCCCTATTACCCTTCCTCTTTTTGGCCTTTCCCCACCCCCACAGGCACGCTAGTTCCTGGGTAGGGGAAAGGGTACTGGGGTCCATCCCATTCTGTTGAGGTTCTTGGCGGTGGTGTAGTTTACCGTGGAATCTGGATCGCCTGGGGATGTCCCAATCCCTCTCTGGTCTCCCGGGCAGTGGCTTTGGGTATCTTTTGGGCGATGGGTGTATCTCTGGAGGCTGCCTTTCAGATTCTGGGGGTGGTGGCCAAAGGAGGTATGCTTTGTGGCGGATATCCGGCCACCCTCTCTTTTGTCCACCGAGGTAGCTCGGCAGATGTGAGGTTGCTATCCAGGATTGCTGGTTTACTGGCATGATGGGTAGGGTATGGCACGGGTTCCATGCTGCATCTGCAGTACTTGCGGTGCTGAGGTCCTCTTGGGCACGGAGGGAGATTTCTGGCCCTCTCATTCCTCCCAGGAACTATCCCTCCCCAGTCCCCCCTTTTTTAATTCTTTTTTTTATTTTTATTTTCTTCTTTCTTTTTTTTTTCTTAAAAACAAAAAGAAAGAAGTAACCTAACCATGGAAGCCCTAGTCCATGAACCTGCTACCCCTGGGCACCTTCTTGGTACCGCACCCCGTTCTGACCCCGCCTCATCTTTGGACCACTCTTTGGACACTCCTAATGCCTCTGTACCTCTTGCTGGTGCTGTTTCCTCACCCGCTTCAGGTACTGAGGTCTCTACTGACTCCTTCGATTTATCTGACCTCCGCTCTCCTTTGGTTATGCTTCCGGCCTCTCCCACTACGGTGCGGCAATTTTCGAATCGCCAGCCCGTTCCACGTCGGACCAACTCTGATCCCACTCCTAAACGCCAGTGACAATTACCTGCTGATGATACTTCTCCACCTTCTCGTTCTTCTCAGAAAAGATCGACATGTCCTGCACTCCCTTTCCACGCTCAGTTTCAGAATGCACAATCGGCTAAATTCTTCACTTTACAACCGACTTCCTCTATTGCCTATCTTTCCGGCCATAGTATTGGCAAGGCACTCCTACGCCATGTTGGTAAAGATATTTCATTTCATGCTCTTAAGAGCAGTACACCCATCATCACTGTACAGAATGCTACCCAAGCTCATGATCTTTCTCTTTTTTCCCATATCGATACTGTTCCTGTCACTATTGAAAAACATCATTCCCTCAATTCTTGTAGTGGTACAATCATTCTGCCCCATACCATAGTTCAAGAAAATTTCCAGACAAGTGGCAATGACATTTTTGAACAGCTGGAACTCCAAGATCTCCCAATCCTCAAGGTAGACACTTATGTTCTTCCTGCCCGTGGGCGGAGACGATACCCTAGTAATGTGGCTCATTTAACTTTTGACAGCCGTGAACTCCCATCCTCAGTTTATGTAGCAGGACATTGGTTACAAGTTTGGAAGGTGATCCCTACACCGCAACAGTGTAGAAATTGCTGGCGATTTGCAGATCTATAGCCGAATGCCCAGTCTGTGGTGCCGATGACCATTCTAATACATCTTGCAATCGACCTCCCTCTTGCCTTAATTGTCATGAGGCTCACCCTTCGTACTCTCGCCGTTGCCAAGTCTACTTAAATGAGCAGGAAATCTATTACCTCGAAGAGGCAGAAGGTCTCCCTAATGCCATAGGAGTTTCTCATCTCCGCCTCCAAGGGAGACTACCTCGTGTTTCTTATTCTTGTGTTTCAAAACGTCCCCCCACTTCTGGGGTCCCATCTTCTGCAGCCTCTGTGGTTACCTCTCTCATAGTCACTCCTGTATCTAATTCTTTTGCTGTTCTGGGCTCAGATGTCCCTACTTCAGTGCCTCAGTCTGTTCTCGCTTCTTCGTGTTTTCCCTCACAAGCCTCGCTATCGACGAGATCTCGTACGGCACCTCTTCCCAATAGTCCCTCTACTTCTCAGAAGTCAAAAAAAGGTCCTTTAACCCCTCCTTCCCTTCTTCCACCTCCTCGTTTTACCTTCCCTGTCTCTGTACCTGGTTCTTCCCCTCTCACTGGCTCTGTTACAAGTGTAGAGGTTCACCCTCCTCCTCATACTGTACCTTCCTCCCCTGTTCCCTCCCAAGTTTCTTCCTCTTCTGCCACCTCCCAGGTTTCCGCCTCTTCTGTCCCCTTCCACGCTTCTTCTCCAGTCCCCTCCCCCCTTTCACCCCCCCGTACCTTGGTACAGTCCATTACAGTTCCAATCTTTACTCATCCTCCCCCTACCATCTCCAATATTGTCTCCCATATGACGTCTCTGAATTCCGAAACACTTGAAGCAATCTCTGAATATATTGCAGAGACCAAACCATCATTGGACACTGATCCACCCTCTGTTCCCTCTCTCTGCTCTCCTCCATCTGCGCAACTCCTTTCTTCGCAGCGCACCGTTCCTTCGCTGCTTGAACATTTTCCGCTGCCTCCGAATGTGGACTTTTCTAACCCCTCTAGTCTGTAGGAACCCTTACCTGTGGATTTCAGATATTTTTATCGTTGCCAATCATGGTGTATTTACAGTGGAATATACGCGGCCTCGGGTAATCGGGGTGAGTTTCAGATGTTACTCTCCCAGTTTGCCCCTGTTGGTGTTTGCTTACAGGAGCCAAAATTACACTCTGCTGTTATCTATCCCATCCCAGGCTATAATTTATTGTAATCTTCAGATCCTTTTCCTGATGGGACCTTTAACCTGTAAACGGTCCAAACGTATATATTCGTTTTTTTAACATTTGAAAATATGTAAAAAAGTAGATCTTCTTTTTGTTTTTCTACATTTGAAAATGTGTAAAAAAACGTTGATCTACTTTTTTTTTGTTATATTTGAAAATTTGTAAAAAAAAACTTAGATCTACTTTTGTAGCACTACACATGTGAACGTAGATCTGCTTGGACCATTTACAGGTTAATGAAAGTGCCCTTCTTCTATGCACTGATATTCCGTACCATCAGCTATTTGTTCGTACTTCGCTGCATTACACAGCAGCCCGTATCCACTTGCATAGGTGGTATACGCTCTGTTCTTTATATCTCTCTCCTTCTCAGGCATTATCTATTCCGGATATTGCCTTGTTTCGTCATTACCGCCACCACTTCTGTTACTTGGCGATTTTAATGCCCATTATTTTTTCTGGGGGTCTCACTGTGATTCCTGTGGCATTCAGTTAGAGGCTTTTCTTGCTACCCACCCCCTCCATGTTTTAAATACAGGTACTCCTATTTTGATCCTTGAACTCACTCACTCTCTTGCATCGATCTCTCAGTCTGCTCTTCCTCCGCCGCATTAGACTTCACCTGGTCTGTTCTCCCGGATTTACATGACAGTGATCATTTCCTAATTATTCTTACTTCCCCTTCATATTCACCACCTCTTCGTATCCCATGCTGGCAATTTGATCAGGCAAATTGGAACCTTTACTCACAAGTAACTGTTTTTAGTGAGGTTCCTTCTTCATCCTCCATCGATGAGCTTTTACACCTCTTCTTGTCCTCAGTTTTAACCGCAGCTTCTCATTCTATACCCCAAACTTCGGGCAGGCATTCTCAGAAATGCGTGCCTTGGTGGTCTCCTGCTTGTGGTCATGCAGTACGTTTGAAACGCGCTGCGTGGGGCAGGTTCCGGTACAATAGAACCATGGAGAGACTTCTTGATTTTAAGCAGAAGCATGCAATCACTTGCCATGTCATCCGTGATGCTAAATGCACTTGCTGGCAAGATTATGTCTCCACCATCACCTCTGCTTCCTCTATGAGTGCAGTCTGTAAAAAAGTACGAAAACTGAGTGGTAAATATTCTCCTGACCTGGCTCCTGTTCTGCGGGTTGCTTGTGTTTATATAGCAAACCCACTAGATGTTGTCA